TTGTGGCTAGTTCTGCAGGTGGTAGTCGAGGATTCAGGCAGAGGAAACTGGTAGAGTGCACCGGTAAGAGGGCAGATCATTCCGGTTATACTATTCACCCTTGTGAGCATTGTGGGCAGGACGACATTGGTGGAGATTCGTGGTTCGTGACCCGCGTAAATGTTTGACATGCGGAGCCTCAGACCATCAGAAGAAGGATTGTCCTAAAAGGGCAAAGACTTCCTAACGCCGTGCATAGGCAGGCCGAGGTCGAGGCTGAGACCTCCGGAGTGCAGAGACCAAACAGTCAGAGACAGTGACAGGCCTGATTACCAGCGGGTCCAGCCAGGGTTTATCCATTGCGAGCCAAGAGAAATGAGGAAAGCCTCCAGATGTCATAGTTGGTGGAGTTTTCTTTATGTGATCATGGGTTTATGCTTTAATTGATCCTGGCTCATCTCATTCATACCCTAGTTGTGCCTACACCCTGGGTTAAAGGGTTAGCGGTTGACATGTGGGTTCAGGGTATGTTTGGTACCAATCCATTAGAGATGTAGTAACAACTCATACGGTGCTCAAAGACTGTCCAATGTTATTCATGGAAAGGAATTTCCAGGAGATCTTTAGGAGTCCATTTAGGGAATTTTGAGTATTGGGCATGATTGGCTATCTAGACATAATGCTTAGTTGATTGTGCAAAGAAAGAAAGGTTGACAAGTATATACACCAGCAGGGGAAGAGATTAACAGTAGTCGGGAAGCGGCCGAGATTTTCTGGGGTTATGTGAATATCAGCTATAGCACAAAGAGATTCATCAGAAGGGTTGTGAAGCATACTTGGTATGTGCATTAAACGCAGAGAAAGGAAAAGGTCAAAAAGTGGGAAGACATACGACAGTGTCTGTGAATTAATCCAGACGTATTTCCAGATGAGTTACCAGGTTACCACCAAGGAGGGAAAGTGGAGTTTACCATTAGATGTTATATCCTGGAGCCGCACCAATATCATTGCACCTTTACAGAATGGCACCAGGCCAGAGTTTAAAAAGAAGTTAAAGATTCAGCTGGCAGGAGTTTATTGGATAAAGGCTTTATCAACCCAGGTGTATCACCTGGGGGAGCACCGGTATTATTGTTTAAGAAGAAAAAGATCGGAAGGCATTCAGATCTGTGCATTTGATTACAGACAGCTGAATAAATTTGACAATTAAGAATAAGTATCCATTGCCTCGGCAATCGATTTTGTGATTTGTTTGATCAGTTTAAAAGGTGCAGGTATTGTTTTCTAAGATGAACCTCAGGTCGGGGATACATCAGTTGCGTATAAAAGAAGAAGATATCGCTAAAGACTGCATTCAGGACCCGATATGGGTCACTTTGAATTTTTTTAGTAATGCCATTCGGTTCTGCACAAATGCACGGCGATTTTCATGGGATCTCATGAACCGCGTGTTCATTCATTACCTGATCAGTTTGTGGTGTGTTATAGATGATTTTTGGTCTACTCCAAGAGTACAGGGTGTAAACATGATAAGCATTTGCGCATTGTACTTCAGACATTGAGAGATAAACCAAACTGTTGCTAAAACTCAGTAAGTGTGAGTTTTGGCTAGAAGAAAGTCTCTTTTCTTAGGACTGTGGTATCATCAGAGGATCAGCGATGGATCCTAAGAAGATTTGAAGCTATTGTTGATTGGAGACCCACCCAAGAATTGTCACAGAAGTTCGAAGTTTTTCTGGGTTTAGCCGGTTTACAAGGTTTGTAAAGGGATCTCCATCATTGCCATCGACCCTTTAACCAGGACTGTTGAAGAAAGAGGTTGTATTCCACTGGATTTTTGTGGATAATGATGTCAGCAAGTTTTGACACTTTGAAGAGAACAGTGACTGAAGCACCCAGTGTTAACTCAGCCAGTGTCAGGTAAAGACTTGAGATTTACAGATGATGCCTCTCATACTGGGTTAGGATGTGTGCTCATGACAAGATAAGGAACAGTAGTGCTTATGTTATGCCAGACAATTGAAAGCCACATGAATTGAATTATCCGACCCATGGATTGTAGAACTAGCCAGCCATTGTTCTAGCATTTAATATGGCCGGCATTTCAAAGTATGGCGGCATTATCTGTATGGTGAAAAGTGTTACATTTATACAGATCATCAGAGTTTAAAGTACTTACCAACACAGAAGGACTTGAATTCAGGACAACGGAAGTGGATGCAGATTCTGGCTAATTATGATTATGTCATTAATTATCATCCGGGCAAAGCTAATGTGGTAGCGGATGCCCTTAGTCGGAAATCCTTGTATGCTTTGAGCTTCATGAGAATTAGTATGGAGTTACAACAGCAAGGAGCTATTCTAGCACAGATGCAAGTACAACCATCTTGGGTTCAGGAAGTTGCAGAAGCACAGAATGCAGAAGCACAGAAGAAAGATGCACAAATAGCCCTATGGGTTAAACAAATCCAGGCAGATCATGGTGGGAAATTTAGATTGGATAGCAATGGAGTTTGGTTTTATGCAGATAGAATTGTTGTACCACAGACAGGGGAGGTTAGACAAAAGATTCTGCATGAAGCTCATAACAGTCCATATACAATGCATCCAGGTAGCACCAAGATGTATCAAGATTTGAAGAAAGACTACTGGTGGCCAGGCATGAAGAGAGACATCGGAGATGTTGTAACAAGATGTTTAACATGTCAACAGTCAACAAGTAAAAGCGAAATTCAACTGCCATCCGGGTTACTCCATCCAATAACATGCACGAACTATTGTGAAGATGGGATCAGATCAACGAGGACTTTGTTAACTGGCTTACCTCAGATCGCAGCAGAAGCATGAATGGCAGTATGGGTAATTGTGGACAGATAACCAGTCCAAGTTCACTTCCTAACCAGTCAGGACGGACTAATTCTTCTAGATAAGTTAGCAGAACTTTATGTTAGTGAGATAGTTTCGACACAACGGAGTTCCATGTATCCATTATTTCTGTCTTGAATCCAAAGGTTTAGCATCGAAGTTCTGGGTAAACTTCAAAGAAGCATTAGGAACGAAACTGCATTTCCAGCACTGCATTTCATCCGCATGACATGATGGCCAGTCAGAAAGAAAGTAATTCAAATATTGGATAGAGAATGATGAAGAATCATGTGTTATTGCTGAATTTGAAGGCAGTTGGGACAGATAATGTATCTCTCATGGAGTTTGCCTACAACAACAGTTACCACAATTCAAAGCATCAAGATGGCACCATAGAAGCGATTGTATGGTAGAAGATGCGGACACCTGTTATGTTGGACAGAACTTAGTGAAAGAAGTTTTGGGTCGCAGATTTGGTTAGAGACCACATGAAGAGAAAGTGGACATCATAGAAACGGCTGAAAGAAAGCAAGTGATCGACAAAAGTCCTATGCTGATTTAAAGAGAAAGGATATTGAGTATTCGGTTGGGGAATAAAGTATTTTTGAAATTTCACAATGGAAAAAGATCTTAAGGTTTGGACCAAAGGGTAAGCTAAGTCGCTAGGTTCATTGGTCCCCATACGAGATTGTTGAAACGCGTAGGACCATTTAGCCATCGCCTAGCATTACCGTCCAACCTTAGATCGATCATAATGTATTTCATGTATCCATGTTTGCGAAAATACCGATCAGACCCTCACATGTGGGTTTATCACAGCGAGATATTGAAATTCAGCCGGATCTCACGTATGAAGCCGTTCAGATTCTAGCCAGAAGAAAACTAAAGCATTGCGGAACAAGAAAATAGTACATTGGAAAGTTCTTTGGAGGAATCATAAGACCAGAAGAAGCAACTGGGATCGCCGAGAAACATGCGACACATTCGCATTTGTTCACAACAGGTAAACTTCGGGACGGAGTTTTTAATTTAGGAGGGGAGAACTGTACATCCTCTTGAGTTGAGTTGGATTGGAACCAAACCTGGTTGGGGTAAGAAAGAGATAGAAGTGGGACTGTGGACTTATGTGAATGTAAAGTTTGGACTTGTTTGCATCAAAACATACAGCTTGGGTATGAAGTTGTAGCCTTTGTATACTTGAGGTACCAATTAGCTATGTTACACAGCCAACTCACGTCTTCTAGAGACTACCTGTTCTTATCAGTTCAAGTTTCTATTTTCATGTTTATCATTCTCCTCTTACTTGTCCCGCTCTTTTCCTTTCACTCTTCAAACATAGTTAAGCATTAAGTCAACTGCAAGTAAGTAAAATTCCTTGAAGTGTGATGTTATTTCCTATTTCATTGAGTTATATTGGAGATGAGTTATGAGAGAAATTCTTGGTGTATAGGAGAAGAAAGTTCAAAAAGGTGCAGAAAAAAGAGAAGCTGAAAACAGAAGTTCAACAAGCTTTTGACGTCAAGGTTTGATATCTCATGTTGTTTATTAGTTTCTTTGCATGTAAATTGTGTGGTGTTGCTAGTGAGATGATATGTTGCTTATTGTTGAGTGAGAAGATTGGATATGATGTGAAAACAGGGGATGACTATATGAAGTGGAAACATAGTTTGCTGGAAATTTTACCAACAACTTCATCTTGATTTTGAACCCTTTTAATGATGGAATTAGGAATTGTCATAGAAGAGTTATTTGTTCCTTTCTGTGTTAGCTTGACACGCGTTTTTGAATCACTCAATTTGGAATTAGCTATTGAGAGTTATGGCCAAAAGAATACAGACTGCACAGAATCACGTCGCGCGCTCGCGCATGCTGGAAAGCACGTCGCGCTCGCAACTTCCCATCGCGATTTCCTATTGCGCGCTCGCGACTTGAGTCAGGTAGCTCTCTGACTCTCAATTGCACAACTCGCGCTCGCGATCTCTGACTCTCAATTGCACAACTCGCGCTTGCGAGGATCACATGCGCGGTCGCGACTTTGGCCAGAAGCTCTCTGACTCTCAGTGTGCGCATCTCGCGCTTGTGTGATTCGCGACTTGTGTTGCGCGGTCGCGACTTCAGCCAGAAACACACTGACTCTCAGGATGCACAAGTCGCGCTCGGGACTTTCACATACGCGGTCGCGACTTGAGCCAGAAACCCTCTAACTCTCAGTCGCGATTCTCACGCTCGCGATGTTGCAAGGCGCGCTCGCGACTTATGCTGTGACACTCTTTTGCCTTTCATTTGCTATGTAATTACATTCCTTTGCTCAACATGCATACAATGCATGCATCCAATCAATTTTTACAACAAAAATAAACATAAGAACAATTGGATTAAACAACATACAAGCATTCAATGCATGTGAATCAAATCACATGATGACTATGAAAGTTATGCAACCATTTATGTGGTTTGGTGTTATATTATGACATGTACATAAGAAGCTCCATTGAGGTTAGGTAGAAAACCAGGTAATAAGGCTTGTCGCGACATAGAATAGCAGATCTGCGCCCCATACAGTTTGGAATCCGGCTACAGCCGTTGAGTGGATAAATGATTATAATAGCCATAGCAGCCAAGCATAACAGTATTCATAACAGTTTATTACACTTATCACGTACGGTTTCAACTAATAACCTTCATGGAGCCATAACCGCATATCTTGACATAACAATTACATGACTCATACAGTAATCATATATAGAAAGGAAAGATCATCAAGGTTAAAGACAATTATGCATAATACGGGTGATTTGTTTGTGCCATATGTGTTTACAATGGTCTTGCTATACGTGTATGTGCTTAATTACTTCTTTCTATGTTGAGATATCCACTGGGCTTGTATAGCTCAGCGAGTTACCTGTTTAACTCGCAGGTTTTTAAGACTGGTCTAGAGAGCGTCAGCTTACAACTGCAACAGTTCACCTGTAGAAGGCACAGTCTTCAGGGTAGCTTCTCATTTTGATGTGTATCTTTTTATATTCCTTTCATGGCATGTACAGGGCACACAGTTGGGCCCAGGTCATTTTGTAAACTAGTATCATGTTATGTATATATTCATTACATTATTAATGTAAACAACTTCTGTATTATAAAATAGTCAGTAACTATTATGACATCAGCATGTCAGAACATTTAGTCAACCAGTTTGTAACGTCTCGACTCGGTTCATTCGGGTTAACGGGTGGAATTCGGGTTTAACGGGTTGGAACCCGGTAAGGGTGTTACAATGAAGGCACGAATAGAAGGAATTGGGACTTAATAGCACGAATAGAAAGGAATTGGGACTTATAGATTGATCTGACACTGTTGTTATCTGATCTTGAAAAGTGTCTCCATGTTCCTGAATGTGCTGAAAATCTAGTTTCTTTTAGGGAGGTTGGGATAATGTTGGTTTCAGCTTAAGATTGTAATGGTGTTTTTTTCATTATACAAACATAAGTACTATTATGGTTCTGGTACTTTGATTGATGTTTTGTATCATTTAATCTTAATGCTGAATTTATTGAAATCTCCTGTTTAATGTTGAAACACAATATAGGTAATAAACGTAGTGCACACTAATGAATGTTCTGCCTTTCTTGTGGCATCAAAAGGTTAGGTTTAACATATCCAAAGAAAGGATTTTGAGGTAGTGAAGGTGAAATCTTACCCTCAATTGATTTTCACTGACTGGGATGTATGTATAGATTGCATCAAAGGTAAGTAAATTAAGGCCATACACATTAAAGAATCTCAGCCACAAGAAGCAGTGAATTGTTGAACTTATACACACTGATATAATATGTCCTTTTGATGTTTCCCTCTTGGGGTGGTGAAAAAATATTTTATCCTTTATTCGATGAATTTCTCACGTACGGTTTATGTATATTTGTTGGCATGAAAAGTCTCAAATCAGTGGAATATCCTTGAGATATTCATTAATGGAGGTAGAAAGGCAGTTAAATAGAAAAGTTAAAGTGGTGAGATCTGTAGAGGTGGTGAATATTATGGTAAATTTAATGAAATGGACAATGTCCAGGTCCTTTGCAAGTTCCTTGAAAGTCATGGCATTTGTGCGTAATACACAATGCTAGGTTACACCTCAACAGAATGGTGTAGCTGAAGGTGGATCGTACTCTTATGAAAATTAGGAGTATGCTAAATAATTGTACTGTACCTTTATCATTATGGATGGATGCATTAAAGACTGCTGCATATTTACTTAATAGGGTTCCTAGTAAGGCAGTTCCTAAGACCCCTTATGAATTGTGGACGAGAAGGAAACCTAATTTAAGACATCTTCATGTTTGGGGTTGCCCAGCAAAAGTAACGATATATAATCCACATGAAAAGAAGCTTGATACTAGAACAGTTAGTGGATTTTTCATAGGATATCTGAAAAGTCAAAAGGGTACAGATTTGTTGTCCTAACCATAGTACGAGAATTGTTGAGTCTAGTAATGCTCGGTTTATTGAAAATGGCCAAATTAGTGGGAGCAGTGAACCACGTAAGGTGTGAATGTGCAAGAGATTCAAGATTGAAAATCCAGCTTAGGTGGATTTTCCTAAATGTTTTCTTCTTCGGTTGTTGTTCCAACTTGTTTTGTATCACGGTTTAACAACATGGTTGAACAACAAAACAAACATTCGAACGCCACAAATGACCATATAAATGATCAAACCAGCAAATAATGAACAATTCACGAATGAATCAAGTGGATACCTAGGGGCGCGAGACAACTCTCTCTAGGGAACTCGGCAAAATAGCCCCGTAGCTTCGGGAGAAGGGGTGCCTCCTCACAAAGGGGGTCGCAGTGACCAGGCCCGGGCGACGGTTTCTTTCCAGAAAGCCATGGAATTTGATAATTCTGAAAAGTGGTTTAATGTCATGAAGGAAGAAATGCAATCAATGAGTGACAATCAAATCTGAAATTTAGTCGAGTTGCCTGAGGGGTCAA